ACTAAACCTGTTTTTGCATCCCCTTTTGGCTACTAAACTGAATTTTAGTCGCCAATTGCCTGTTTTTAGCTACTAAATTTTTTTCAATAGCCAAAAAGCTTCACTTTCAGCGACTAAACTGTTTTTAGTCGCCAAAACACGTATAATCGGTGACCAAACTGTTTTTTAGTCGCCAAAACCGTCACTTTTGGCTACTAAAAAACCTTTAGTCACTAAAACCCATATAATCGGCGACTAAATTGATTTTTAGTCGCCAATAACTATACATTTGGCTACTAAATTGTTTTAGTCGCCAAAAGTCTTTACTTTTAGTTACTAATTCCATTTTAGTCGCCGAAAGTGCTACTTTCAGCGACAAATTTTTTTTTTTAGTTGTCATTTGTACTTTTTGTTGTAGTGATTATATCTAATCTCAATATATTGCACCATCTGAAAACTCTAATAAGAGGAAGAAGTCAAAAGATTCATTAGAGTTAGAGGACAAAGAGGAGGACAGTGATGATGATGACGACGATGACGAAGACGACGATGATGACAGCGAAGGGCAGGTAAATGGGCAGGGAGAACAGAAGAGTCAACGAGGTGGAAAGGCTGGTAGAGGTCAAGGCAAGGCAGGTGGGCATGGACGGGGTCGTCCTCCCAACGAGAAGAAAAGCAGACAGAGCACTCAAGCGAAAGGAAGTTCTGGACAGGGTCTAGTTTGGGTGATGCCTAAGAGCAATTTCAGTGGTGTGTTAATTTCAGCTATATCTTCTTCTTCAGTAAAAAAAAAAATAAAAAAAAATAAAAAAAAAGAAAAACAAAAAGAAAAAGAAAAAGAGAAAAAAAAAAACCCTTTAATTAGTGTTTTAAATATTGGGTAAAAAATTTGATAAAGCAAATCTTGTGTCGAATTTTTAACAAATTTGTCACATTAACAAAGGATAATCGCTTTTTGAAAATAGATTCAATACTCAAAAAATAATATAAGAGTTAGTTATGCCAAAATAACATGAAAATTATTTAAATGGTATAGTTAAAAAAAACAAAAAAAAATTTACACTGACAAGTTAGAAAATAATTCGAAAATTTTGAGATTTTAGATTCAAATTAATGAAGTGACATCAACCAAGGTGAGATTAAACCCAAACTACTAATATCTTATTGTGTAAAATAATATTAATATTAATCAAATCAATCCATTAAGGGCACATTTGTTTTGCCCGCATTAATTATAAAATTTAAAGTGGGAGTACATGAATATTTAGTCCGGTGTTTGATTATGGAATAAAAAATGGGGAATTAAGCGTGGAGAATATTTAGGCTCATCAGATTATTAATATGTTGTTTCTCTTGATAATTTTAATATTGGTACAAAGTATAAATAGAGAAAAATGATAAATAAGTAATTTCAGAAATATTTATAGTATTAGAAGGATTTAGCTTCTCCAGATTAATTTTTTCTTTCATTCAACCATAAATCAAATATAATATCTCATCCCTTCTATCAAATCATTTATCTTACCTATGATTCCATAATATAATTTATCACCATAAGTCTTCTATCTATAATCATGTCATATATCCAACCATTTATCCCATCTAATAACATAATACGAATTAGGACATTTGGTTTAGTAATTGTGTAACACCAATGGTGTGAGGTATTGGGTTTAACTTCTATAGAGGGAAATTTGCTATCCTTTATGACGATTATTTATTTCTCCCTCATTATGGACTTTGTATGTCGTTAGTAGTAATTGTTGGGCATAGGCTCGGGCTTAGGCTTGATGGATTTAGTATATTAGCTGTGTTACGCTTTGTTAACTATAGTGGGTCGCATGATATAACTTATTTCTCATATTCCTATTCATAATTTCTTAAAAAATAATTTCACAATCAAATCGCATGATAAACATGGCCTAATTTCTTGCACAAGCCTATCATGTTTTAAAAATACGCTTTCAAAAAAAGTTTACAAAAAACTAGTTGAATAAATAAATCTCGATGACACAACATGAAGTTGAGAAAAAAGTTCAAAAGTACTTTATTATAAGTTAAAAATATATTTTTCTAATTTTTAAATAATTATTTTTTTAAAAATTTATTTAAATTATTTTTTTTACTAAGCATTAACTTCATCAAATAATCTGACACACTATCAAAATAAAAAATCTGTAAGTAGCATCTAAAAAATATAATTTGAAAAAGCGGACTATGATATTTAAAAAAAAAAAAATTGTGGTTGATTTTTTTGGCAATTAGTAGGGACGCTTGGTCAAGCTACTTCACAATGAATGGGTTATTAATTCACTCTCATTCATTTATTCATTTTTATATAAGCTGTAGTTTACTAATTAATTAATTCCTTCACTTTTGCTATTTCTAACAACCTTTTGAGATTATATTTTTGTATGTATATATATGTTTGATAAAATTTTCATTACACCATACCGTTCATAAAATTTGTGTGTTATGGTAGGCCCTAGTATTTTTAATATAAAATGATTTCTATATACATATATATGTAATTTGTAGTGGGAATACACATACGAGATGAAATATATGGTCAGATTATTATTTTTTTCACATGACAATTGTTATGAATTTCCATGAAAAATTGAAAAGAACTGACACTTTCAAGTGAAAAATGTAGAAAACAACAAAAATAAAATAAAATAAAAAAAGAGTAAAAATTATGAATATAATAATTCATTAGCAATAGGTCATACTTTTGAGAATTATTATACATTAAGTCATTTTGATATAAAAGAAAAAAAAAAAAGAGTGTGCAACAAGAAAAGAGCCTAGCACGCAGGATATGACATTAACTGGGATCAAAGGGCAAAGAGGAAGCGGAGCAGAAGTGGGCGGCTAGCAGTCGGTCTTATTTAGGAAGAGAAGATATGATCAAAGGGTGGTTACTCGAGTAGGTAAACAAGGAGTTTTTACAGTGTTTGTTGATAACCTTCCATGGTCGATGAACCCAAAAGGTTTGTTTGCACTATTTACTAAATTCGGAGTAGTGAATGATGTTTTCATCCCAAACAAGCTTAGGAAGGCTCCAAAAAACAGGATTTGGCTTTGTTAGATATAATTGCCCAGTGGTAGCTTCAGTAGCTGTTCAAAAAGCTCATGGCCTATGGTGCGATGATAAGGAATTGCAAGTGAAGGTAGTAGAGTTTGAGAAGACAAGAAAGAATAAGAGAGAAGGCAGGCCTATGAAGAATGTGGATGGTGGAAAAGGAAAACCACAATGCTATTTGGAAAGCACTAATGATGTGGCATTTAAGGGTCAGATGGGGCATCAATCCTATGTGGAAGATATGGTACAAGGCAACAGAATAGCCAATGAAGGGCATGTCATATTGGGTGTTGAATTAGGCAATGCATGGCTGTACGAGAGTGTTATTGTCAAACTAAAAAGTTACTATGCTTTCTCAAACTTTCGAGAGGATGTCTTGAAAAGAGGTTCTAAGGACATTGTTGTAAGAAAAGGGGGAGGTCGTGTAGCTGTAGTGTCCTTTAAGACAGTGGAGGACAAGAAGTCACAGATGGTCCTCTTGGATGATTGTTTCAAAAAATGGTGTGAATCAGTAACTGAGTGGCAGAAGTTTGTTCCTCTTGAACAGGAAAGGGCAGTATGGTTGCGCTGTTAGGGGGTGCCATTGAATATCTGCAACACTGATACATTTAATAAAATCGGTCGCATTTGGGGGGAAGTAATTCGAATCGATGAGGATACAACAAATCCCATATCCTTCAGTTGTGGAAGGATCAAGGTTGCAACCAAAGTAATGACCTTCATCAACACAGTAATAGAAATTAGGTGCCAAGACATGCTCTATTCAGTTAGAGTGTGTGAAGAACTAGTTTTGGTAACTAAGTTTACTGGTAAACCTTGTGAGTGCAAGTCAAGTCAGAAGAGGGTAGCTCTGTGCAATGCAATCTCAGGAAAGGAGCTACAGGCTAACAAGATTGCAGAGGGGACCGAGGCTGAGGTGGAAGGCTCAACCCAAAATATGATGGACATGTGTGCTGATGTGGCATGAGCACAGAGGGTTGAGTTAGCACACCTTGAATCAATGGCAGCAGGGAGGCTGTCTAACGTTGGCTCCACCTCGAGAGTGGAAGAGACGATGGAAGTGGGTTTGGAAAGCCAAAGGGTAATTAAAGCAAGCGTGGAGACAAATATCAAAGAAAATTTGAATGCCATCGAAACTTTAAATGTAGGGGATGGACAGATGAAGCTTCACAATACCCCGATCATAGTTCAATCAATATGGATACTGTGGATAAACTTATGAATGATGTTGGGGAGTGGGATGTGAATAATATCAAGGCTTGCATTCCAAGTGAAGCCCTTGATTATGTGCTTAATGTTAATTTATCTCATTTTGTTACCTACCCTGATACTCTTCATTGGAAAGGGTCCACCAGTGGCAATTTTTCTACCGCTACAGCCTATCAAATGGCCTCTAGTTCGATGGACAATTCTATTAATATGGATTGGGTTTGGAAATTAAGAATTCCACAAATGCTTAAAGGCTTTTTGTGGTTGACTCTTCATGGTAAACTCCTTACCAATTCTATGAGGTTAAAAAGGGGAATTACGGACAATGCAAATTGTCCTAGATGCAATCATCTTTTGGAGGACGTTGAACATTTGCTCCGTGGTTGTACTTATTCCAGATTTGTTTGGCATGAATTAATGGGAAACTATCAAAGTTCTAGGGCCATGTTGAGTCCCCTTAATGTTTGGCTCAAATCCAATTTACGTAATAGCATGGACGTGGGTCCAGATTGGGGCCTCATTTTTGCTGTTACTATTTGGCAAATTTGGAAAGAAAGAAATAGAAAAGTTTTTCATGATATTGCTCCTTCTTGGCAGAGAACAATTTTTCTAACATTTAATTATGTTAATGAGATTAAACATGCTTTCTCTATTTCTTTGACTAGTAATAGATTAACTCATGTTATGGTTTTCTACCGCTACAGCCTATCAAATGGCCTCTAGTTCGATGGACAATTCTATTAATATGGATTGGGTTTGGAAATTAAGAATTCCACAAATGCTTAAAGGCTTTTTGTGGTTGACTCTTCATGGTAAACTCCTTACCAATTCTATGAGGTTAAAAAGGGGAATTACGGACAATGCAAATTGTCCTAGATGCAATCATCTTTTGAAGGATGTTGAACATTTGCTCCGTGGTTGTACTTATTCCAGATTTGTTTGGCATGAATTAATGGGAAGCTATCAAAGTTCTAGGGCCATGTTGAGTCCCCTTAATGTTTGGCTCAAATCCAATTTACGTAATAGCATGGACGTAGGTCCAGATTGAGGCCTCATTTTTGCTGTTACTATTTGGCAAATTTGGAAAGAAAGGAATAGAAAAGTTTTTCATGATATTGCTCCTTCTTGGTAGAGAACAATTTTTCTAACATTTAATTATGTTAATGAGATTAAACATGCTTTCTTTGTATCTTTGACTAGTAATAGATTAACTCATGTTATGGTTAAATGGATTCCGCCATCTGCAGATAAAATCAAGCTCAACACTGATGGTTGTGCTCGAGGTGATCTAGGTTCGGGATGACGATGGCTCTTGGTTGTGTGGATTTTTTGGCAAGCTTGACTCTTGTTATAGTTTGGAGGCTGAAATGTGGGGTATTTATAGGGGGCTAACAATGGTGCTAGAGAAGGGTTTGCACGAAGTTATCATCGAGACAGACTCTACCTTAGCTGAAGAATTTCTTAACAAGGGGCCACCTTCAAACTGCCCTTTCAGAAGTATAGTGGAGGATTCTAGAGACCTTATCCGCAGGTGTAATTGCTCTATTCAACATATTCTGCAAGAGGATAACAAGTGTACATATTTATTAGCCAACATGGGAGCTGACCAATTAGAACCATTGGTGGTGGTAGATGAACCACCTATTGTTGTTAGAAGCCAAATTGTGGCTGATATGGTGGGAATGGCATATCGGAGAATCTAGTTCCTGTGTGCCTCCCTTCTTTCCTTCTTCTTCTTTTTTTTTTTTTTTTTTTTTTTTTTTTTTTTTTTTTTTTTCTTTCCCGTTTTGTCAAAAAAAAAAAAAAAAAAAAAAAGAAAGGTGTGGGCAATGGATATATGAGAAGCATTAGTGGGAATGGGCTTGATAAGCCAAGGATAGCGTTGGAAGTGGATTTGGTTAAGACCTAGTATGATGGGCTAGTATTTGGGCCCATGGTTAACATTAGCAACCCAGCTATTGAGGTGTCCCAAGTCCAGGATAGTGGGTCATCATCATCATTTGTTGAGTCCACATATGCTTTTGGTATCACAGGTGGGAAAAAATGAGAGATAAAATAGAGGTAAAAGCTAATAAGGAGGGGTGGCGATAGAATCTTGGTAGATAAACATGGGAAAACCAGTGGTGGGAGAAAGGATAGGAAATGAGGTACAATGGGTATGGGATGCTGGAGCAAAGGTGCTGTTCTTAGAAGTAAACCTGGATCAAAAGTTAGGCTGGGTACTCACGAGAAAGGCTCAAGTAAAGAAAAGTCTGGGTCAAGATCAAGATTCTGGTCTGTGTTGTATGGATTGAAATCTAGTTTTTGTAATCCTTAGTGTCTAGCTGGTGACTTTAATGAAATCAAAAATCTTGGGGAAAGAATGGTGTGTTCTCAAAGAGACAGAGGGATGAAATAGTTTAATATGTTTATAGAAAATATGGAGGTCATTGATTTACCCATGATGGATAGGCAGTTCACTTGGTGTAATTCTGATGATGAAGAACGTTGGAGTCGAATCGACAGAGTACTTATGTCAATAGAGTGGATAAAAAGGCTACATCTAAAGTTATGGGGTTTGGATAGAAGTGTATCAGATCATTGCCCCTTGTTACTGGCAGAGGATAGAAGGGAGGCCATTTCCTTTCATAAATACTTGGACTCTACATTCGAAATTTGGGGAGGTTGTGAAGAAATGTTGGGAAGATTTTGCTATTACTGGTTGGGCAGGGTTTGTCATAATGAACAAATTGAAGGCTCTACGTTCAGTGTTGAAAAAATGGAATGTGGAGGTTTTTGGAAAAGTTACTCATTCATTGAAAGAAATAGAGGAGGAGCTTCATGCCATTGATCTAGTGGCTAAATTGATTAGATCAAGATTAGATCAAGAATTGATTGTACCAATTCCCAAAAACTAAAACTAACAATCTAAATCATCAAGCACGTACGAATGTGATTTAGATTGTTGTTTTTAAAATAATAAATCGACACAAACAATTTTTACGTGGAAAAAATCACAATTGGAGCACCCCTAATTGTGATAAAAAAAACCACAGACGAAACGTCACAAATCAATCCACTACTGAAGAAAGAAAGATTACAAAGACACCAAACAAATTAACCAAGAGCTTTCAATTTGTCTTCAAATCTTTTGTATATCCTTCACCACAACCTTCATCTCGGAATTGATTAGGTTGATCTTGAATCCACAACATCCATTGTCGAATCAAAGACTGAGCACAACATCAAACTCCTTCGACACTCCATGCTTGAATCTCCTGATTCCACTAAAGAAAAATACTCTTGATGAAGATCACATAACCAACCCTTTGATGTATATTACCTAACCATGTGAGTATAATACTCAAGCAAGCATCAAAGGAAAACTATCAAACTAACCCCAAAACGGATCTAGGAGTGTTAACCCTAAAAAAAGACTTAAACACATATATATAGAAAACAGGGGCCACGTCCCCCGCTCGAGTGCAGAACTTGCCGCTCGAGCGGAGTCTCTAAAACGCGTGTGATTAAACAGGTCTCACGCTCGAGCGCGAAAACACACTTCTCAGTATTTGTACAGACAAGCCTAACTACTGAGACAATGCAAACTCCGCTCGAGCGCAAATGTTCCCACTCAAGTGGGAAGACCAAAACAAAGGAAAAAATTACAACTCAATTAAATCAAGTTTGTTCACGGATTTGGGAACTAGGGACTTAACATATGTGATCTTACATGTTTGAAATACAAAGCAATTGAAGATCTCAAAGGATAAAAAGACAAGAGAATTATTAGATTATTGGAATGACATGTTGAAAATGAAATACTCATGGAATGTAATGTGTGAAGTTATGAGACTTGTTCCTCCATAACAAGGAACCTTTAGAGAGGTTTTAACAGATTTCACCTATGCTGGTTATACCATTCTGAAGGGGTAGAAGGTGTGTAAACATATATCAAATGACATTTCAAACTAGTTTATTATTGAATCATCTAGAATTATCACATCATCTGTTATCCTAACTACTTGTAATCGGTTATTTCAAATAAAATGAGATTTGAGACCCTATCTTTTAATCTTTTTGAAAAGATAGGTTTCCAATGATTGAAATCTTGGATCTTAATTTTTTTCTTGCTGATTAGGAAAATTATACCTTGTTGATTGTTCGAAAAAATTATTCCATACTCTAGGTGACATAGTCATACATTAATTCAAGTCATTCATTTATGTGGGTTCTATGTATACTTGCACAAATGAATGACTTGAATTGATTTGTGATATTGCTACGTGTCTTTGGGGCAACGAATAATTGCTTGGTATAGGCGTATAGGCTTAGGATGTGCTCGACTTTTCAACAGTTACTCTTTAGCCAATGATTTTATAATATATATATATATACTAGCGTATGCCCGTGCCTGAAGACACGATATTAATAATGTTGGGATTAAAATATAATTGTAATCCCAACACTATTTAGTAAATTGTCAATTTAATATAATTGTAATCCCAATCCTTCCATCTTATTATATAGATTATCAATTTAATATAAAAACAACACTATTCTTGGAAAAGGAAAGCAGACTTAAGCGGGTTTTTTTAGCAGAAAGCTCTACCTCTTTTTTTCCTCTACATCTCTCTCCTCCTATTTGAACTCCATTGTTGCTCAAGTTTGAGCTTTGAATGAGAGTCATAACTTAATGAAAATCACAAATCCAAACCCAAATACACTACCAGTTCAAATATAGATCCGATCATATCTCGGGTGGATTACAAAGTTCTTGGTTCTTGGATGGGTTTAATCAACAAATGAGCCGTGAGAGAGAGAATGAGATGAGTTTAATTAATTGTGGAGGAGGTGTTGTAATTAATTATGGAGAATGAAATTCAAATAAAATGTATTAGATTAATTCAAAAATTTGTGAGTTTGGGAGAATGGAATTCTAATAATAACAGTATGGAGCCCAATCTAAATGACCTATAAACAATCTAAAATAACCCTAAAAATGTACATAACCTTGAAGCCCCTTAAGGTCATGAAGGAGATGAACAAAAAGTTCAACACAACATTCTAGTGACAGCAAGTTGCACAACTATAAACCAAATAACAAAAATTTCAAGTTAATATTTCTGTCATGGCAAATAGGCAATTTCATTAATACAAATACCAGAATGAGACTTTAAAAACTAATTTTGACAGTAAATTCCAGTATTCACACTTCCTTTGTTTTAGTCTGGTTAGAAATTTTCCCATTGATTTGGCTCTTTATTGTCTCAAGTTGTGTACAACATAACAAAAACAGAAATTCTAAAAATTACAAAACCCACTACAAATTTTTAAAAGTTCAAAAGCTCACTATAACTATAAACTGAACTAACTACACAAAAATCACCTAACTGAACATCTATAAATCTAGAAACAATGAATCAAACGTAAAAGTTAAAAAACGAACTCATCAATAATGAAAATTTAATGTTTGATTTTTCTTTGGATTTGCAGTACCTTATTCACAAATCACAATAATATGTTTGAATATAGAAATTAGACTTTTCTCAAGTGTACAAAGGTTTTAGAGTTCCAATTAGGAGACATGTTGCACATGAGAATACATCTGTCAGCAAATGATCCTTCTAACTGAATCTTTTTATCAAACATTTCATATGCAACCAGTTGTGGCTAATACAAAACACATGGAAGGCCAACCGGAAAAAAACAACTGAAAAAAAAAAAAAACCTTGGAGTTGGAACACATACTTGAGTCCCAGTGGCATAAGTCTGTCTGATAAACCATCATCAGGAAAAGTGTTTTGCGCCTAGGCTCAGTTTCTCCCTGTATTCCAGTCAATCAATTTCCTATCAACGCTGTAATTTTGATTTCAAACAGAATTCTTCATTCAGTTATCTAAAAAATGAAAAAGAGCTAGGAAACAAAAGACAGAAAAGGGAGTGGAAAAGGAAAAACAAAGAATAATCGGTATCTGACCATTGTTAAGAATTGATTGGTAGGTATACTTAGATTCAAAAACCCTCCTGCCTACTTAAGAAATTCCCCATTTCTCCCATTTGTTCATGTATTCTTCACATCCAAAATTATGTCTCAAATCGTCACATTTAAACAATACACACATGATTGCTCCCCAATATTATTCAACATCAAACCAACACATCAAATTGGGAAGTGCTAACATATAAAATTCTATATAAACAACAAACCTCATTTACATATGACTATACGGTTCACGAAAAAAGTCGTAGTTAAAGATTGTTACGTAGTTGTGTGAAGAGCTAATTCATCAAACACATCTCCGAACAAACCTATATAACAAAAAGGTATATTTTTTGACACACTCACACTCACACATACACACACACACATATACTTATTTACGTAAATCAACAAAAATCACTTGTGAGAGAGAGAGAGAGCACGATGTAGGTCCCCAAAAGCTCAAATGTCAAAGAAATGAAGCCCCTTTCCACAATTACCAGAAAATGGTTCGATGATCAAAGACTTTGTTCTTGTTAGGGTTTGCAGGAACAGTCCTCTGATAGAACAACCCACGAAACCAAAAGAAAGAAACACAATTACAAATAATTATCAAAACCACTAAAAAAATAAAAGAGTAGATAGAACGAACATTTACCTTGGATCAATTTCAATAGCCAATTCAATCAATGGACCAATTGAAGCCCCTTCAAAGAGTGCAGCCGCCATCAAGAGTGAAACCCTCAAAATTAAAATCATGTATGCCAAACAAATAAATGACAGCAAATAGAGAAAAAAAACACAAAAGAAAGAGATGCCTACCTCTTCATATGGAGGGGTTGAGAGCAGCTAAACAATGCTTCCCGACCTCCAATATTCCAGAGGATATGCAGATAAGCTCCTGCAGCCAAAGCAATTAGAGCATAACATAGTGAGAGATAAATCTGTAAATCAACAACTTATGTAAAGATGATGATCACTTGTATTCTAGGAAAAAAAGATGGACACGGACACTTAGCCAAGAAAGGCATTTTTTTTTTTCTTTTTAAAATTTTCAATTTCACATCCTCATCTGTTTTCCTTCGTTTCCAGTGAATGGAAAGCTATATAGATCAGAGTAATACATTTTTATCTAAAACAACCACCTGCCTAAGAGCCCGAATTCAAAAATCAGCCCACATCCTGAAAAATCATAGATTACTTACTAAGATAGATCAAAAACACCTTAAATGGCTAAACACCAACAAATCACCTCCTTGAGTTTGCTTGAAAGATTTATGTTTGTTTCGTTTGTAATTTTGAGGCAATTTTTTTCATTGACCATCTTCAAATTATGATGTTTTTTATTCATTTCATGTGACTTAAAAGAGTCTTTAATTCTGTGTGTGCATTCAAACATATCAAAATAAGAGTCAAGCACATTAAACATGCTTTTGTAAGGGATGATACTGCCACACCATCTCTCCAGTGTAACCCATCCAATATAGATCTACATCATTTCATAGCGAGGAAAGACATTTGATTTGGAATTTGATGATGTTGATTTGGTTATGTATTGAAAATTATGATGATAAGTAGCAAGCCTAAAATATTAAAAGAATAACAATAAAAATAGCAGCGATATCAAGAACAAAGTGGCTGGCAGCTTAAATTTGTAAGCAGGACCACTGAATGGTCCAGCTAAGATAACTTCATCATACATAAAGAGTAAGGTAAAGATTTAGAAATGAGAAGACTTTAACCTAAACCACTTAATAGAAAATCATTAGTTCATAAAGAGACGACAATTTTAACCATCCACCAATTTCTTGATGATTAAAGAGAAGATTCAGCAATGCTCAAGGATATGCAAATTAATTACACCTGAGACATATGAGATGGGTTCTGAGGCAGCTGATGAAAAATCAAGTCCTTTACCACCAGCCATGATTCCAATCATTGCAATCTTAACCTGCAAAAGACAAATAACAAATTATTACCAACCTGCAGAAGACAAAATGCCTTGAATCTATTTCTTTTCTTTTTATTTTCCAATAAGTTACTTGTCCATTCAAATGGATGCAACCATAAGCAAGCAAACCTAGGATAATCACATAAAAATTAAGATATCAAAAAGGATGTGCACATAACATGTTGCACTAACTCCAGCAGAATGTCAGTTTTTGACAAATAACTGATTATGCTGTCTACACAATGTTCTAACCCTCCAAAATGACTATTAAGCTTGTTATACCATTCCGAAGGGGTAGAAGGTGTGTAAACATATATCAAATGACATTTCAAAGTAGTTTATTATTGAATCATCTAGAATTATCACATCATCTGTTATCCTAACTACTTGTAATCGGTTATTTCAAATAAAATGAGATTTGAGACCCTATCTTTTAATCTTTTTGAAAAGATTGGTTTCCAATGATTGAAATCTTGGATCTCAATTTTTTTCTTGCTGATTAGGAAAATTATACCTTGCTGATTGTTCGAAAAAATTATTCCATACTCTAGGTGACATAGTCATACATTAATTCAAGTCATTCATTTATGTGGGTTCTATGTATACTTGCACAAATGAATGACTTGAATTGATTTGTGATATTGCTACGTGTCTTTGGGGCAATGAATAATTGCTTGGTATAGGCGTATAGGCTTAGGATGTGCTCGACTTTTCAACAGTTACTCTTTAGCCAATGATTTTATAATATATATATATATATATTTTTTCTTTTCAATTTTCACCCTCTAAAATTATATATAAGTGTCCCATTTTTTCCCCCTTTCCTATTTTAAGAAAAATACATAATAATTTCATTTACTTTTCTTACTTTTTTTTTTGATCGGCAAAGAAAACTTTATTGATGAAAAACAACCGAATTACATTAATAAAGAGGAGCTTGGAGCTAGAAGAAGCTCCAACCTCCTAGTTGGTGAGAAACCAACAACAAACAACCGAATTACATTAATAAAGAGGAGCTTGGAGCTAGAAGAAGCTCCAACCTCCTAGTTGGTGAGAAACCAACAACCGGGGCAAAACAATGACAAAGAAACGAAGGAAAAAACAAAAGAACAACTGAGCAAATATACCCCAAAATCTGAGCCAACATGCCACCAGAAGCAGACTTGCTTCGTACAATAGGCCATCTTCCAACAGCATTAGCATTACTACTCCCTTCCTAAAATCAGCAGACTAGCATTATCAGGCCAAACAATAAGCCTCATACAGCAAAACAGAGCACCAGACTAGCAGAATCAGCCCAAACCAACAACCTCATACATCAAACCAGAAGCAGACATAACCAAACTAGCCTCAAATAGACATACAGAAGGCCAAACAGCAGCATACTTCAGCAGCATACAACAAAATACAGAAGGCCAAAACCAGACCAACTTAGCTCTGCCACACTCCAGATATAAACCAGAATCACACAACACTTAATTAGGAGACAGCAAAAAACTGAGCAGAACAAGCTCAGAACCACACTGACACACAAACTCAGAACCACACTGAACTGAAATACCTGCAATGACATACCAGATGAACTACCAACAACTCAAGTCCATCCAACCAAGCCCATTATTCAAACCTGGTTTGATTTAAATTGGACAAAAGACCTACATCCCACCTGAACCTAGAGCACATGCCTACTGCCAACAAGATATTGCTAAGCCCACTGCATATTTTAAACAACAAACCTCTTAAGTACTGAAACCTTACTGCCATATGATTTGGTAGAGATTGGACACTATATCATGGACTGAATAATCCAAAACCACAAGCCTCATATAGCAAAACAGAGCACCAGACTAGCAGAATCAGCCCAAACCAGCAACCTCATACAGCAAACCAAAAGCAGACATAACCAGACTAGCCTCAAACAGACATACAGAAGGCCAAATAGCAGCATACTTCAGCAGCATACAACAAAATACAGAAGGCCAAAACCAGACCAACTTAGCTTTGCCACACTCCAGATATAAACCAGAATCACACAACACTCAATTAGGAGACAGCAAAAAACTGAGCAGAACAAGCTCAGAACCACACTGACACACAAACTCAGAACCACACTGAATTGAAATACCTGCAATGACATACCAGATGAACTACCAACAACTCAAGTCCATCCAACCAAGCCCATTATTCAAACCTGGTTTGATTTAAATTGGACAAAAGACCTACATCCCACCTGAACCTAGAGCACATGCCTACTGCCAACAAGATATTGCTAAGCCCACTGCATATTTTAAACAACAAACCTCTTAAGTACTGAAACCTTACTGCCATATGATTTGGTAGAGATTGGACACTATATCATGGACTGAATAATCCACCTTCAAGTGCCATTTGGACCACAAAGCTACCTACGACTTAACTTGTTCATAGAGTTCTTGGAGATCAGGAAGAGCATCCTTGAATAAGCATTGGTTTCTCAACTTCCATACTGACCATAAGACTACAGAGGGAATAATCTGCCATACTTTGAGTGCCCAAGACTTGAATTTGAACCTGCCACCATTCCATCACTGCAACAGGCCTTCTACAGAACCTGGAATAGCACAAACCTGGTCTCACCACTCTACCATGTGAGACCAGCACTTCCACACTAGAGGACACAGCAGAAGCACATGTTCAACAGTTTCCATCTCAGCTTAGTAGAAAACACACAAATTACTAGCACCCAAATGAAGAGCCCCAATTCTTTGAAGGTAGGATGAGGTTTTAACTCTGCCACGCTAAGCCAACCAACAGGAAAACTGCATCTTTGGAGTGGCCAATCTCACCCACACCCCTGCTGGGACTACCAAACCATTCCCACTAGCTACAGCCCTCTATCTCCACACAGAGGCAACTGAAAACTGCCCTGACTTCTCTGCTAACCAAGAGCAGGAGTCCTCAACACCATCTCTGAGACTAGGAGATAAGAACAACATGCCTAACAGCCTCTGCAAATCCTCTTCTTTTGAAGCTAAGAGATTCCTTCAGAAATGAAGCTGCCACCCTCCTGAGGCACACAACTTTGCACTGAGCTGCTGCAAAGAATCCTTATTCTCTGTGGATAAACTGAGCAATCTAGGAAATTCAGCCTTTAAGCCTCTGCTACCTAACCAAGGATCATACCAGAACTTTATTCTCCTCCCATTGCCAACTATAATTTTAACCTGTTCACCAAAAAATTCAACCATTTGCTGATTAACCACAGAAAGCTGTGAGATATCCTTCCAAACCACTGAGGCCCCTATTGACTGATTCAATGAAGGTGTCCATCCCCCACCAATTTTGCCATACCAAGAGCAGATCAGTGATTTCCACAGAGCTTTACCATCACTGGCATACCTCCACCACCACTTTAGCAACAAGCATTCATTTACCACACCTATGTCCCTAACTCCCAAACCTCCTTGATTCTTACTTTTTATGACCTCCATCCACTTGACTATGTGCACTTTTCTACTAGTAGCAGAACTTCCCCATAGAAAATTGGCTTGAATCTTAGAAATAGACTTTACGACCACTTATGGCATTTTAAAGATTGAAAGGAAGTAGATAGGCAAATTGGACAAGGCTGATTTGATCAAAGTCAATCTGCCAGCATAAGACAACAGTCTTCTCTTCCAAGAAGAGAGCTTCTTCTGAAACTTTGCCACTACTGGAGACCAAGTGCTCTTTCAACTAGGATTGGCCCCTAGAGGCAGGCCTAAAAAATTAATAGGCAGATTCTTAGGCAAACAATTCAACACCTTAGCAAATTTCTTAGTCTGGTCTTCATGATAACCTACTCCACAAACCATACTTTTGTGGAAGTTTATTCTTAGACCAGAGATCACCTCAAAGCACCTCAAAACCCTCTTAACATTCTAGACTTCCTCCATGCCATGGTAGACGACCCCGAACGTCCTTGGAGGGAATCCCGTTCTGTTCATTTGGGGCTCACTACAGTTCGGACTCAAATTGTCACGATTCTTAATCTGATCTCACAATGTGCAATGTGAGATTGATAAATCACCAAAGAGTCCAAATCCGGCAAATCGTTTTTGAAAACAGATTTTTTTGAAAGAAGTGCCAAACATGGACTGCTTTGCCAGATACAGAGTCGCCACCTAAATGTTTTATTTTTGGGAAATTTAGAAAACCCTGACTCGTTGCCTAAGGCCACATGTCTATCATCACCAAAGTTGCCTCGGCTCAGGAACTTGGGTACGATTGGGGAAGGTCAGCTATGAGCACCCCGCCCACCCGGTCAAAGATCGGCCACTACTAAACATGATATCTCGTTTTGAAAACATATGTGTTCTTATTCCGATTAATTAGCTAGAATTTACTATGTGATGCACACAACACACAAGTATAGACTAGATCGCCTAATTTGGAACAAAGTATCGCATATCCGTTTGGTTTGGAAAATGATTTGAAGTTTGCTACTCGTAAGTAGGCTAAAACACGGATTTCAATGAATTATCCCAATTCAAACAATCCAACCTTCACCCACAAGCATTTAGGCAGTAAATCAACTAAGCGGTTAGCCTCATGGAAAGCATGCTTTCATGTTAACATTCATACTCATGCGAGATGCTAAAGCATAAACACTCGCCTAGTACTCCAAGCCAAAACAAGGAACATGTTAGTAATCAAATGTGTGATCCAAGTCCATGTTAAGATGGCTAATGCATCGCAGGAAAAATGCAACTAGAATAGGCTCGGCTAATCTATGGATGGCATGTGAAATGCAACAGATAACATGTATTCAAGTTAGATTTGAAATACTATGCAATTAGTATGATGCGCCGAGCCGGGTGCATGCAATACAAATGAATGAATGCACACATGCATAACATAAGGATGCTAATTGAAATATGCCCTAATACTAACCATCAAAAGCAGGTAAGTAAAAGGGAGAAAGAAGTGGGGGTTGGAAGACAAGCACACACGCACCCACACTTATTACACAATTCGCTCTCTCTCGAAGAGACCAAAAGAATAATACAAATTTAACTAATTCACAAGCTAATTAAATAGTTACAGGCCATTTAACTAGTTAAGCAAATTAACTAGGCTAATAAAGCGGTAAAACAGCCTCGGGAAGAAGGTCCAATGCATGCGTGCTCGGTTCCGCTCGGAAATCCACCACCATGCACAAACTGCCTCTGTTTACACTACTCTGTGCCTTTAAAAATTGCACAAGTCCCAGGGAGGGATGCTTCAGCATCACTCCGTGATCATTGTGGGATGCCACCGGCCATAAGGAATGGTCACCGACCATGGTAAAGTGGTAATCGACCAGTTGTATAGCTCTTGGCCAAAGATATTTAGTCGGCCGGCACTGAGAATGGTCGGTCGACCATATCTTCCTGCAGAACCCTATTTTGACAGCAGCAGAGGGCAAACAAGGCATGGCAATGCATTTTAAAGAAAATGTCTGCACCACCACACTCCTTATCATGTTTGTGACTCAAAGGAGTTTGGTACTCGACCCTCGGACCATCAATCGCGCATTTCAATGCGCGATGGCCAAAGCGGCCAAGTGTGCCATTTCAATGTCAAATGAAGTGCACATAAACAAATAATGGACCTAACCCCTATCATGGTGATTCAAGAGGCAATGTATGCATGCAAAATGCAACCTGAGCATGCGAGCTAAGTATGCAATATGAACATGCAAATAAGCAATGTGTACTAGGCATACAACCTAAGCAAGCAAGCATGCTAGACATGTAACAATAATGCTAATGACCAACATGCAACAACATGTGAGGGGGACTTAGCATAGGAACATGTAAAGCAACTTAACACAAGATGCATGCCAAATGCAACACCACTTAAACATGCAACAACATGTTAATAGGCGAAGCATCTAAACATACAAACATGTATAGCATGCAACAACATGCCAAAGGCCAAGCGTGTAACAACATACAAGGCAAGCATGTAACAACATGCGAATGATGGACTTACACCAAGATGGACAACTCTCTACTAGGCCCAAAACAGTGGCCAAATGCTATAGAAATGAGGTCAAATTTACATACAAACATGCATACAAACATGGTCAAACACTTAAGCATAAAAGAGGGACTTTTAAGCACACTTAAAAGGAAACAAATATGGACAAATGGTAAGCATGATAAACTCTGAAAATCATGTTAAGGATGGTGCCAAACCAACTAAACAAAGTAAGCAAAACATGCAACCAAGCCCAAAACTTGAAAACTAGCCACGGGACTCAAACCAAGGCTAAATGAAGCAAGCCCCAAAGGGCCATGGGGACCTAAAACAGTCCGAATGCAGATCTAAACAAGACCAAAAACACACTTAAATGGCATTCCAAATGCCTAAGTCTAAAGGCATGCACAATGACCCAAACATGGTGCACAAAACACAAACCTTTTGAAACATCACAGGAGCCATAAATGCAAGTATACAAGCATGCTATATGGGCTAAAATGACATGACTAATGGTGTCAAACCACTGAAATGATGCAAGTAGAGCATGCTAGAGGATCCAATACTCAAGGCCTACAAGGGGAGATTGCATGGTAGCTATACAAAGCAAGTCATAGATGACCCAAATGACCAAAATCAGACCTCAAGCACATCAAAACATGCATAAAAGCTTCACAAAGCTAAGCCAAGATCATGCTAAAAAAAAGGTTCAAAGCACAAAGCATGTCAAGGCAATTTCATGGCATTACAAGACAAGTACGGAAAGCATGCATGGTGTGTCTAAACTAATTAAAAACAGTGCTATATCATGGCAAAATAAGAACAAATACTACTTAAGACATGGCCAACATGAACTCAAGAAAAGTGCTCACACATGAGACTAAAATGACAAGTATTGAAGACGACAAGGAGAGGGGATGGCCCTCTCTTTCTTAGGACCTTAAAGCACCATCCCCACCACTGAAATCCCTCTAGATTTCAATGGTGAGGAGGCCAACACAAGGTGGTCCCGGAGCTCACCAAAAGTGCACAAAAAAAGAGGCCAAACAAGGCCTAAGAGGGGTCAAACAACCCCAAACCTCAAAGAGACCTGAAACAACTATTTTAAGCACTCAAAATCAAAACTTTTATTAGTTATAGACTAATCTTAAAAATAGATGCAAGGATGGCTAAAAGTCTATGCAAAAATGGGGAATAAAGGGGTAAAGTTCTTACCCTTGTAGACCACCTTCAAGAATGGAGCTCCAACAGCCTTTCCAAGCTTAAATCAACTCAAGAACTCTGAAAATAACTCCTTAGTACCTCAGTAGCTAAGGTATGGTGTAATACTATGTGTCTTAGTGCAAAACTAAGAACAAAAACACCCTAAACACACACAAATATGCAAGGAGAGTGAGGTATAGAGATAAGATAGATACAAGACCCCTAACCCTAAAACCAGACCTCTTGAACTTCTTGGAACCCTTGAGGAGGGAGGAGAAGCCCTCCTTTTATAGAGATCCACTCTTGCAAAGCTTATAAAACAAGCTAAGCAAGAGGGAAATCCCTCCATACACGTGTTTGGAGTGTATGGAGGGGGTGCAAAGTGGGTGCCAGCTATCACAAAATATCTGCCAAAAGCAGATGAACAGTGATCGGCCAGCCAAAAATGACAAATTGACCAAAACAATGGTCGGCTGACCAGAAAGAGTGCCGACCGGCCAAACATTTGGCCGATAGAAACAAAACATGGCCGGTGGCCTTAAGCCATGGCCGGTGAGGTGTGGGGATGGCCAACAAGCTATTCCGTGCCCTCAGGTGCAAAGACCACAAGTGTTTGGTGCAAAACCAAACACAAAACAGGCAAGTCGAGAGGTCTTAAGGCAAGGCGCGTAGCCAAAACCTCCGAGAATTCAAGACGAACACAAACATGGATGATCACCGAGTGTTCAAATGGTGACGTCCAAGTCTTGAGGACGGTCAAAAATGGGGTGTCTACAGCCACCTTCACAAAAAATGATAGTATCATCTGCGAATTGAAGATGAGAAATGCCTAACTGATCAAAGCCAACTAATGCACCCTTAAACAGGCCCTTCTCAATAGCCCTTCCCAACAAAAGGTTAAGACCTTCAGCTGCTATAATGAACAAAAAATGGAGATAGAGGGTTACCTTGCCTTAACCCCTTTTGTGGTTGAAACTCCTCCGTGGGTGAACCATTAACTAATATAGACACCATAGTTGTTATAATACAAGTCTTCATCCACCTAATCCACCTAGCACCAAAGCCAAAACTACCCAACATTGATAGCAAAAATTCCCAGCTTAATGAATCATAGGCTTTCTCAAAATCCAACTTCAAGATGATGCCTTTCTTCCTAGCTCTGTGCCACCCATCTACAACTTCATTGGCAATCATCAAACCATCTAAAATATGCCTACCACTGACAAAAGCTAACTGCACCTCACTGATCACTGCTGGGAGAACCTGCTTCATTCTTTTGGACAAC